ATGAACTTGTTATTTTATAAGTTAAATTTTAATTATTTTAACTATTTACAATTTAAAATACAAATAGAAACGATTTAAAAATGATTTAACACTGTATATTTATTGAATACAAAACAAGGCCATGACAGCAAGTTGTTTTACTATCAGGAGGGCATTCTACGCCAGCAGTAATGCAATTTAGCACTTCAATAAAAAATATCAAAATTCAGATTAATAATAATTTACAAAAGTAGGTCATATAAGTTTATACTGTAATTTTAATACAAATTATTTACGTTGACGTTCATTCACAAGTTCAAGAGCAGGTGCAGCAAAAGTGTGTATAGCAAAAGTTGAGATTAAGACCAAGAGATAAATAAAAATTTTTGACAACATTGGGTTAACTTGAAATTATAAAAATATCAAGACAAAAATAAGAATTCATCAGGTATAAATATTATATTTTGTGTTATATAAATATGCAAATGAAATGAAATTCATTATGATTTATATCATACAACATTAATTTGAGAAAATACCGTACCGGTACAGCGTGGATCATTGTACAGTATAAATTTTAATATGTTAAATGATCCCTTAATCACAAGGATTAAGGTGATCATATTATGTACAATAATATCGATATCGATTTAATGTCATTCAGCACTCTAATTTTGCTTAAATTTATATTCAATTTCTGCCCAAATTAAACTCTAATTTCACCAAAATTTATAATTAACTAGCGGTGTTAATTTGGTAGGTAACTTCGTTGCCCGCTTGTATAACTTAGTTTAATGTGTGATAAGTTTAATTAGTTATAGTTATGTGTTTGAATTAATTTTAATAGTGTGATTTGGTATTGCTTAATAATAGATTTTATAGGGGATATATATTGTAAAATTGGTAAATAGTTTATATTTAATAAACTTTAGATATGTATTTAATAAAATGCATAAAACTGGATGTATAAACATATAGTAAAGTTTAGTATGAGTAGCATTATATTATAGAAGGATTGTATGATGGCATTTGATCATTAAAAAAAGAATACTTATTTGGTATAAATAGTCCGCAAAAATGAATCCAAAAGAATCCAAACGGATCTGGTATTTTTAATGGGTATGAGGTTGGTGAGAATTAGGGATTGGAACTGTCTAAAATTTTTCTTAATTGTTTAATTTGGTTGGCATTAAAATAGTTCTAGCTTACGATAAACATAATTCTGCCCAGAACTATAAAATGAGTTCAAAATTAAAAAAGAATATTTAATATAAATCGTAAAAATTTTATCCAAATGATAGAGAATTCGATGTTGAAGTGCTTAATTTATTTAAAAAAAAATTAAAACTGCTCATCAATGAAGATGAACTATGTGAACTATTCTCGACAGATAAAAGAGGAATTGTGAGATTTATTAATAAGGTTCTTGGAAATAGGACATATTCGAAAGATGCTAAATTGATATTCCAAAAGTTATTTGAAGAAATATGTTCTAAATTTGATCAAGAACTGATTAAATTGTATTGTAGTATTTGTAAACAAGAAGTTTTTGAAAAAGATGGTTGTATTCATCTACTACAAAGAATTGATTTTGTGGAAGTTTTTGAATTTGTACAATTTTCGAAAGATCATTGTGATTACGAAAAATAACTCACACAGTGGTAACTCTGGTTAAATTTGGCAGATTATTTAGCCGGAGCTACTTGGAGACTTGAAGATCATTTATAAATAAAAAATAACAATTTTTTTCAATTGATTATACACGGATTGTGCTTCAAGCCGTTTCTCTTCAGTGAAGTTTTTATAGATTTGGTCGACTTAGTAAAATGATTGAGTGCATCTTCGTATCTTATTTTCCTCAAATGAATTAGAAAGTAAACGTACTGATTGGCTTTCAACTATTGCTGTTCACATTTATAGATGTTTTTGTATACACTATTGAAAAATGTCTTGATGGTTTCTGTAATCATTTTACAAGTTTCATCGTTGAAAATCAAATTCTCGTTAAATCGATCAAAGTTATTGTTTTTATCATTACTCATTTTCACAGCTTTTTTCAGATATTTTAACATTAGATTGTTGATTTTCACCTGTGTTAACTTGACCTGATTTTTCCTGATATTAAAAAACTTCTTTTGAATATATATTCTCTTTTTACTCTTTACACCAAGATACTGCCCAAGGTAAAAATTTAAAGATTTTTTGTTGTAAATGGTAACAACACTGTCCTTTTCACAAATATTGAGAATATTTTGTAGATTACATCTTCGAAGAATTGTTGTAAATTCTTGAATCTTATCCGATTGGTATCTAAATAATAAATCATTGATCGGATCGATGATGATTGTGACGTCTCCTAACTCCACCATTTTCGATATATGATTGTAATTTTTAACCAGGATGAATAAGATGTTGATGTTGGTATAATTCATGTTTATTTTTAAATTCACGTAATTCAAAAAATTCTCGCTCGTGATATCTAAAGAATATTGGATGCGGTTTTCCTTACTCGATTGCATATTAAACTCTTCAAAGATACCAACATTCGGGCAAAGCTTTTTAACTAAATGTTTAAATACGTAGGTATCATTGACATTATTTATATGATCAACCTTATCAATGTAAACTGAAACTAAAAGATTTTTATCTATTTGATTTAGTTTGATTTTTTTTTTTTTGTTAGAGCAGTTGAGGGTGTTTAAATATTAGGCAAGCAAACCTTCTGTCATTAATAAGGTCCATTTACAGATGGAATAAAATATTATACTATTTTTAGAATTAAAATAATGACATGTAAGACGAAATCCAAATTGGAATTCTTCAAAAGTTTTATAGTTAAACTATGTGAAGTGACACGCGTGATATTTAGCAAGATCTGACAGGATTAAAAATATAAAAATACAACCTACTCATAATTTAGCTCCATTTCTTTGTTTAATATATACTTAATTTAAAAAAACAGCTAATTTAATTTTGAACAAAAAGTTCTTGCGCTTTCTGAGTGGTTAATTTATTACCTTCTCAATAAAGATTTAATTTGGAATTTAAGATCTTTAAGATTAAATATGATTATTTCTGAAACTAAGAAATGCGTCACTATCAGATTGTAAACTAAGATAAAATTCTAATTGGATATGTTAATCAAAAGAAAACTATTTTTAAAATTAATAGACTTTTGATGGTAAGACGAAATCCAATTGGAATTCTTCGAAAGTTTTATAGTTAAACTATAAAATATAGTACTTTCCATCTTCTCCAAATATTTTAAAATAAACTAGTGGATTAACAAGCGTGATATTCAGCAAAGATACTGATTAGAAATATAAATTACCACTCCTTACGCATAATTTAGCTCTATTTCTTTGTTTAATATGTGCTTAATTTAAAAAAAAAAGATCTTTTAACTAAATTCTTGAAACAATAACAATTTTGGACAAAAAGTTTTTGTGCTTTCTGAGTGGTTAATTTTAAATAATTCCCAAATAAGAAAAAGTCTAAACAATTTTTTTTCACATTTTCGAGTGGTAAATTTATCGTATTAGATAATTTAATCATTTTATTAAAAATAGCATTTGCCTAAAAAACTATATTTAGCCTTAATAGTGACATGTAAAATGCCAAAACCTTCGTGTATAGAATTCTTGAATCTAATTGATACTCGATAAATTAACCACTCGAAAATTGCGGTTTGTTTTAAGTTATGCAAAAAGTCTATGCCGCTTTTAAGTTAAGTAAGAATATAAAACAAATAAATGAGCGAAGGATTGACCCGGTTAGTATAATCAAGTAATGGCACAAAATAGAATTAATAGTATACAATAATTTGTGAAAAGTGTCTTTACTAAATTAATATTATTTGAATTGCAGACTTTCGTGTATTTTCGTGGATAGAATTTCGATTAATAAGAAATCACACTCCGTATGTACGACTTTGAAAGGTATAAAATATATAAATTTACGTTCTTCTATTCCTGCCCATTCAGTCAAATTCAAATCAAATCTAAATTACAAACAGGAAAACTATTACAAAATGAAAGTCAATAGCACCACAATAGATGCCAGCGAAAAACTCATCATCGTCAATTCTTCCTTTAAATTTTTAATCGATGA